CATGAGCATGTGAGGCTCACGACATAAGAGAGCCAAAATCAGCCTATAAATAGCAATTGAGATCCATTCTTTCGTTACACTTTCTACTTTCATTCTCTCTCGTTTCCGAAGATCGTTTCCGCCTCCCGAGCCCGACGATCACGAACCGCTAACCGTTTCTAGTTAGTTTCTATCAAAGCACGCTACAAGTGAGTGCATAATTACTTTCATCTTACACATAGATATGAAGTATTTAATATAAATCACGTGCTATGTGTGCATATTATTTGTGTTCATGATATCTATGCTGCATGAATGATTTATACATGTTTTAAATGATTTAAACTGTATATGTATTTTATATCTACGAATATGTTGGGTAGATAAATAATGAGGGATGAAAGATGATATAGATGAATATTGGCAGTTGCGCCATAACCCGTAGGTGTTTTTGATTTACGTGTTTACCAGATGTACTCTAAATATCCTGGCAGTTGCGCCTAAAGGATAATATCGGCAGCTGCGCCTAATAGAGAACATCATAATCCTGGCAGTTGCGCCTAAAGGATAATATCGGCAGCTGCGCCTAATAGAGAATGTCATAATCCTGGCAGCTACGCCTAAAGGATAATATCGGCAGCTACGCCTAATAGAGAACGTCATAATCCTGACAGCTGTGCCTAAATGATAATATTGGCAGCTGTGCCTAATAGATAACATTGGCAGTTGTGCCATAGGCAACGATGGACTTCGTGCCTATTCCTTAGGAATGAAAAAGTGAATGATAAATGATTCTTAGGGTAGATCCTTAAGAATAATGAAGATAATGGGGATGGGTAATTGAGTTGATTGTTTGATGATAAAACATAATAACTTTATTATTGTGGGTTGAAAACCCTATGTACTCACCAGGTTTCCCAACCTAACCCACTCAGCTTATTTGTATCACAAGTGTCGATACGAAGTCACATTACACCGAAAGATTAAAGGAGATGTAAATCACTAGTGTAAATGAATGTAAGTTCTGTTTATGCTTATGTTTCTGTATTGACGATGACATCCCAATGTTTTAAAATGAATAAAATACATTTCTTCGAAAATGCCTTGATAACATATTTATCATGTTTTTCTGGGGATAAATTCCGCAACACTTTTCTTTAAAAAGTTACTCTGATTTTAAAATAAAGCATAAACAAATCGGTCTTTTCTGACTGTGAATTTGGGGATGTCTATATATATATATATACACACACACACACACACACACACACACACACACACATATATATATATATATATATATATATATATATATATATATATATATATATATAGGTAGGTTCAAAATGTTTCTCACATCTATTGTGTGCTAGAATGCACCAATAGGAATTTAGTATTAATTATATGTATATTAAATGTTATCCATACTTATAACTCATTTTTATGGAAACTAATTAAATTCGTCATTAATATCAACAATAATATTTTTTCAGAATGAATTCATATCTAGAAGAATAAGAGTGTATTCCTGCAGAATGAGAGTGTATTCTAGTAGAATACACTCTCGTTCTTCATATTCCATGCAACTTTATTGTATTTTAAATGAGTGAGTGCTGAAACAAAATACGAACTCATATATAAAGTCCTAAATGCGAATTCATTATGAAAGAATGTTATTGCTGACATCAATGATAGATTTAATTAGTTTCCATAAAAAGAGAATTATAATTATGGATATCATTTAATATACATATAATTATGGAAATCATTTAATATCTATATTTATTTAATTAAATAATTATTTAATTTACTAAATTCTTATTGGTGCATTCTAGCACACAATAAATGTAAGAAACAAAATAGCCTAGCACTATATATATATATATATATATATATATATATATATATATATATATATATATATATATATGTATAATGTATACAAACACGTATTATATAAAAAAATTATTCAAACACGTTTTTATAAAAAAAAAATGTAAACAAACACCATTTTATAAAAAAATATAGATAAAATAGGTGTTTGTATACATTTTTTTTTGTAAAAATAAGTTTCTGTATATATATTTTTATAAAAACGGATTTGTATATATTTATATACTTAATAAATACCTATTTTTATAACTAGATATTTCATATACAAAAAACTTTTTAAAAAAGTTCTTATATAGAAAATATAAGATTTTTATGTAAAATACGTTTTTTTTGTATAAATATGATTTTATAAAGAAAAAACGTATCAGAAACAATTCTTTGAGAAAAAAAGTTGTAAAAAAAACTAATGTTATGATGAATTCATAATAAAATTCTAAAATTTGGGCAAAAAGGGTAAAGTTTTGACCAAATTTGTAACAAAATTTTAAATCTGGGCCAAAAGTATAATTTTGGACCAAATTTGTAATAAATTTTGAAATCTGGGCCAAAAATATAATTTTTGAAAGTTGGATGACCTGTTGACCGGGTCAAATGGTTAAATTGAATACGATTACCGGTATTTGGGACTTAATTGAATAAAAAAAATATATAGGGACTAAATCGATTATGAGATCAATATATAGGAACTTTATTGCAGTTTTCCATATATATATATATATATAAGCGGATGTTACAAAAACCAATCAATTTTACTGTTTTTTTTTGTGTGTTAGAAAAACCAAACCCCAAAATTCAATTTTCATAATCTACCATGTGAGTACAACTTTCATTCAAACATGAATCATTTCTATAATTTAGTCTAAAAATATAATTTTGTTATTGGAAATGTTTCAGTTTCGTTTATTCGATCTACTTTTTTATGTATGCATGAACCCACTCACAATAAGGGCGTGTTCGACACGGAGCGTTTGAGAGCTTCTAGCGTTTGACAAAACGCTCCGTTAAAACAGAAAGCCTCGTTTGTCACTACAAGCTTCTGGCGTTTAGTTTAATCAAAACGTTCCAAATCCAAATGCTACTTCATGTAGCGTTTAACAAAACGATACAAGCTACAAACTACTCGCTAGTTTTGCGGAACACGCCCTAATTCTTTTTTTTTCTTTCAAAAACCAAAATTGCTCGCAAAAACTAACCATAATCAAAGCAATGAAATTATAAAAAAAAAATACTATAGTGAGAATAAACAAGCCATTAATAAAAAAAATACAAAATTTAAAACACCGCATTTAACAACTTTTTCTAATTCGACCAAAATGCCAAATATATATATATATATATATATATATATATATATATATATATATAAACTATATTTTGCAAGTATTTGTTTTAACCACCATTTTTTTCAAGTTATACTCGTACCTCCTGAGGGTATTTGGGGTTGTTTATTTAAAACAAGTTATCTTTATTTATAGAAGTATTTATTAGTGTATTTGGTGTTCAAACATAGTTTTAAAAAAATGTTTGAATTAATATATCGGTATCAAAATGAAATGAGTTGATAAATCATTTTTAGTGTTTGATAAACTCTTATTTTATGTGTGATAATAAAACAACTTATTAAAAAACTTTTTAAATAATTCGTAAGTAAGAACTGAATTATCAAAAAACTCATTTTTTAAGTCAATAAATGCTTATAAACTATTTTATCAAAACACTAAAAATTCACTACTATCATTTCAAATCGAAATAAGTTAATAAACATTATATATTATATATATATATTAAATCCAAATGAGCTTAGGAATAGTACATTTTTAGGCTTTAGGTTTTTGCCACAAAAGTTTACTGAATTTGACACTTTTAGTCCCTAAAGTCAAAATTTTTACATTTTTGCCTTTTAATTAAGTTTTTGTGCCTTAAGGTTTTTGCCACAAATCTTTAATGACTTTGACATTTTTAGTCCTTGCAGTCAAAGGTTTTACATTTTGGTGTTTTTGCCACAAATCTTTAATGAATTTGACACTTTTCGTCCTTGTAGTCAAAACTTTTACATTTTGATATAAAAAACACAGAAAACTTCCTTTAAAATTTTGCCACCATATTTTCCCAACTTTGACAACTTTAACATTATTGCCACAACATTTTTGGATTTTCTCCACCAATGTTCCTTCTTTTCGTTGTACACTTTTGAAATCTAATTTTAGGGGTTGTCGACTTTCTCACCTATTTATGGTGATTTACAATTTCAGCACATATTTTTTAAAGTTGGCCGATTTTTTCCATATTACCCCAAAAGCGGCGTAGCCGCGGGTTCTTTACTAGTATATATTAAATCCAAAGGAGCTTAGGAATAATACTTTTTTAGGCTTTAGGTTTTTGCCACAAAAGTTTGCTGAATTTGACACTTTTAGTCCCTAAAGTCAAATTTTTTACATTTTTGCCTTTTGATTAATGTGCCTTGAGGTTTTTGCCACAAATCTTTAATGACTTTGACACTTTTAGTCCTTACAGTCAAAGGTTTTACATTTTGGTGTTTTTCCCGCAAATCTTTAATGAATTTGACACTTTTCGTCCTTGTAGTCAAAACTTTTACATTTTGACATAAAAAACACAAAAAACCTCCTTTAAAATTTTGCCACCATATTTTCCCAACTTTAACAACTTTAACATTATTGCCACAACATTTTTGGATTTTCTCCACCAATGCCTCTTCTTTTCGTTGTACACTTTTGACATCTAATTTTAGGGGTTGTCGACTTTCTCCCATATTTGTGGCGATTTACAATTTCAGCACATATGTTTTAAAATTTGCCGATTTTTCCCATATTACCCCAAAAGCGGCGTAGCCGCGGGTTCTTTACTAGTTTTAATTAAACATAGAACAGATAATAAAATATTTTTAGTATGAATTAAAACGGAACAATTAAAAGAAAAAAAAAACAGAAAATAACATTTTTTTTTTTAAATTACCGAAATAGGCCATCATTTTAAATTGAGATCAACATTTTACCAACGAAAAAAAATAAATAGAAAATCATAGTGTTTTTTTTTTTTTTTTTCTTTTTTTTTTTACCGAAATAGGTGCTCATTTTAAATTGAGATCACATTTTACCCAAAGTCCTGCCCTAAAACTATCAAAACTATAAACTATAAAAGCAAACACCAAAACCCCATAAACCCTTTCCAAAGCTGCAAATTCGCCGCTGCCGGAGCACTTCTTTTCAGTCGCTCAGGCCATCTTCCACTCTATACGGGACAAATTGATATCAAGATCCCGTGGTTGATACTGTGTGATTTAGCGAAGATAGTAAGGTGGAGCAAGGATTTGAATTTTTTTGAAGAAATTGCAAGGTAATATTTATTAGTTATCAATTAACCATATTATTGTGGTTTATTTCAATGGTGGACATATAAAAGCCCTAAAGCTGAGAACCTAGCCGAACCTCATCCCTTATTTTGCATCATTGGCGTTTTTGGGAGGCAGGCGTTGTTGAATTATTCTGTTGCAGGATTTTAGTTATTAGGGTTTTATGCAATTAGCCCTAATAAGACCTCTCTATCAGGTGCCTGATTTCTTTTTCCTGTGAGAGATAGAGAGATGATAAGGGGAGGAAAGAGCTTTGTTTCTTCACCACCTGCGTTTTCAAATGACGCAAAGAAACTGTTGGTTTGCACTGGAAACACCGTTTCCATTTTCAGCACCACTACTGGTTTACAGGTTAAGTCATCGATTCACTATTTCCCTGTTGAAGTTTTTAACGTTTATTTATCTAAAAAAATTTGTTCTCTTTTGACATTATTCATTGATACTTGTCACAGGTATTGGAATTGGAAGGTCACACAGCACTAGTGACATCTATAACAGTAGTACCTGCATCCACTCCTGCAAGCAGGATTTTATGCAATTGCTGGACCACTTCACTTGATGGCACTATCAAGTATTGGGATTTCTCTATGCCTGAGTTGATGAAAACAATTAGTATCCAGCTTCCAATCTACTCAATGGTAATTTCTAACTGCAAATATTCTTTATCTTATAGCTATTAATCGTGAAATAAAAACAATAACTTATTTAACTTTGACTTTTAGGTGATTCCATCCTTACTTGCTCAACAGTCAGAGACCAATGAACAGCCTTCTGATATATATGCTTATATCTCTGTGAAAGATACAAAAAATGAAGCAAATAAGCAAAAAAAAGAATTAAGTGGAAAGATCCTCAAGTATAATTTGTCCAAGTCTCGCCTGGTTCGTGGAGTCGTATTGTCAGAGGTGGGACCCTCATTATAAGTTTCATGTATATTATCTTCAGCAATACACATTGTTTTGCTATTTCCTCCATTTTTCCCTATTATGTTGGCACATTGCTTATTATATTTATATTTACAGAGTAAAAAACCAGAGAACATAACCATATCTTCAACTGGAAAGTACTTTGGCATCCATGAAAAACGCAAGCTTCGTATATGGGAAGTGCCTCCAAAAGACAATAAGAATATTAATCATCGCAAGTTAAGACTATCACACACCAAGAACATGACATGTGTCGCCTTTCATCCAACCGATAGGATTGTGGCAGCTGGCGATGTGACAGGGAGGATTTTAATTTGGAGGGGTTTTGGTGATAGGACATTTGCAGGTGATAATGGAAGATTTTTGAAGGATGATGATGAGGAAAACCCTGGTGTTAGGGGTGATGGAGATGCTGATTCTTGCACCACTTGGCATTGGCATTCAGCAGAAGTTAAGGTCTTGTTTTTCTCTTCAGATGGAGCCTATCTGTATTCAGGTAAGGACTATCTCAATCTGAACAAATGACCTTTTTACCCTTCTTTATAGAAATGATGGTGGGTAACAAATGCCAGTTTATTTAAAAACTATTATAAATCACAGGTTTTCAGTTAAATATCTGAAATAAAAGTATTTATTATATATATAGGTGTCCATATTAAGTGATTAACTCATGAAGGCCATTAATTTATTACAAAACAAGCCCTAAGATACTTTTGGTCTCTTGTTTTAATGCAAGTTGCTAAATCTTTCCATGTCTGTAGGTGGAAAAGAAGGAGTGCTTGTGGTATGGCAACTGGATACTGGAAAGAAGAAGTTCTTACCCAGAATAGGGACTCCACTTGTTAATTTCACAAGTTCTCCAGATCCTTCTCTTTCATCTGTAAGAAGAACCAAAACTTGTAATCTTGATTCTTGCTATGAACTATGTCTTAACTGATGTTTCCTTCAGATATCTTGTGCAGATAATCGAATTCATATTCTGAAAATGCCATCAATGGAGATTTTGAAGTCCATTTCTGGGATCAAGGTTAGTTTTCACTTTTCAGTTATATATATATATACATATCCATTTCCTTTGATGTAAGAAATTTAAATGGTATCAAAGTTCATTTCTGCCCCTGTATTTTCAGTTTCCTTCTTCAATCCCAGAGACTCTTAAAGGCTCAAGTCAAGATTTTGTGTTTGACCATACTTCAGGATTGGTTGCTGTTCGTACAGAGAATTATTGTATTCAATTCTACAGTTTGTTTGATGATCGTGAGATATCAGAGGTAATAATTAGCTGCAATTTTTTTTCAATAACTTATTTTTCTAACAATGAAAAAAACTAAATTTCATTTGCATTTTGCAGGTTCAAGTTTGTGAAAGAAATCATCAACCAAGTGATGATGTCATGGTATCAATATTCTTTTTTTTGGTTGTTGTATTTTTCATTCTCATTAAAATACAATACAACAAATATTTTGCAGACGATTTTGAATAAAGTTGCACTTTCATATGATGGGTGTATGATGGGAACTGTTGAAACCAGAATGTCTGAAGAAGGAATAGGAGGCTTTGTAACACTCAAGTTTTGGGAACGTGGGCCACACAACAATGATTTCACCTTGTCTACTGTTATATATGAGCCCCACAGGTTTGTTTTTTCTTGTTTATAAAATCTTTTCTTTAATATATATTATAACATTTTGTGAACATGTGATGGTTTATGGTTACAGGGATGCAAGAATTTCTGCAGTTGCTTTCCATCCAAATGGCAGCATGGCTGTGAGTGCTTCTTATGGTGGTGACTTCAAGGTAAAAATGACAAGATTTTTTTTTTTTAAAAATAATTTTGAGGGAAGATGAGTGGGTTTGTATAATTGTTGTGGGTGGTTTTGCAGGTTTGGGTTAGCAATGGGAATGGTGAAGATAAGTTGAGATGTAGATGGGCATGTCATGCTGTTGGTTCATACAGGAAGAAAGCTATGACTGCTGCTGCATTTTCTGGTGATGGTTCTGTATTGGCTGTTGCTGCAGAAACTGTCATCACATTGTGGGACCCAGAGAAAAACATACTCGTGGCTGTAATTGGCTCTGCTCTTGAGGTGTGGACAATGGACATGGACATGGTCTTTTATTTAATTTTAATTTGACTGACATGACATGACATGACATGACATGATGATAATGTTTTCTTGCAGTCAATTGTAAATCTTTCATTTATTGGAGATTCCAAGTTTCTTGCATCTGCATCGCGAGTTGGTTCAAATCCACAGCTTTCAGTTTGGAGTATGTCAAAGCTGTCGCTATCCTGGTCATACAAACTTCACATAGAAGGTGAATTTTTATACCATAAGCTAACTTTGTGATCATTATTGATGATGCTAACTGAATTGTGTACATGATATGATATGATATGATATGATATGATATGGTTATGCAGGTATAGCATGCTCAGAAAAAGATTCCCTTTTAGCCGTGCTTGTTGTTCTCCCTGAATCAACATCTAAAACTCACAACACCACTGGAAGTGGAACTGGTAGTGGGGCTATCCTACTATTCAATGCTGAAGATCCTGTTCCTATTGCTTCATGGTTTGTCACAAAGGTAAAAAAAAAACAACAAACAGCATTCTCATAATGTTCACTACTAAATTATACAACAGTTAAGTTACCCCCCAGCCACCATAATAATGTATGTATCATGTATGTGCAGGCAAAGGGAGGGGGGGTTGCATTTATCCAAAGAAGCAGTAGAGAATTGGTTGCATATGTAAATGGGGATCATGAGTATGCTATTTTTAACCCAAATAGCCAAGAAGAGGAAGAGAAATATGAACGTAAATTTAGGGACACAGTGGAACAGGGGACAGGTATGACTCGGTCAAAGGACCATCCATTTTTATATAATTAGTAGAAAGAATATATATATAGTTTATGTTTTTTTTTTTTTTAAATGTTGAATAGGGCATCATATTGGGGGGTATGCGTCCATGTATGGGGAGCTACCTGAGTTGAAGATGAGGAGGAAAGCAATTGAAGCATCTGTTGCAGAGAGTGTGATGGGGGTTTCAGAGAGGCCATGGGAGACGATATTTAGTGGGCCATCTCATAGTCTTCCTCCTCTCACCAAACTGTGTTCTGTTTTTCTGGAATCATTAATGGAGAAAAGAAGTGGTATGGTAGAGTAGAGTAGAGTAGAAGATATATTCAAAAATACAACTCAAGGAAGGGTATGCAGATGAGTAGCTTAGCTGGCTATGTGGCATATGCATGCCTGGAATCTATTTCAAGGGTGGGTTTTTGTTCACTAATCTGTCCGATGCTACTTGTTCTGCATTCAGCAAACTTTTTTGTCAACTAATTCAGATAGATAAATAGCTAGCTAGTCCAGGTCCATTTTTGCTGTGTGTGTGTATTTTTTTTAAGGATATGAAAATTTGTATGATATTCTACTTATATTGGTGTATGGTATGGAGTGAAAAGTACTTAACCAGGCCCTGAATGCGAAGAAAAAGTTTGGTGTTTACAAATGAAATGGATTTAAACTGAAACTATAATCAAGTTTATACCCACGACTAATGTTGACCAACATATAATAACAACAACTTCTCAACATCTGATTGGATACCTAAGCCGTAGTTCATAATGTTTCGTGAACACGTGCATGAGTTTCTATTAGTAATGTACGTAGAGAATCGAGGTCGTGTGCTTAGTGTTCAAAAATAAATATCGGACATGATTGATATTTATGAGGTTTTGAGTCTTATGTAGATCCCAAGTAAATATTTATCAAATATTTATGAGGCGTTTACCATAATTTTTTAGAGTTCCAAATTGTTTTCATTTGCATCTTTGAACTGTGATCTTCCTCGAGTTTCCTTACAATCTCTTTGTGTTTTAGTCTATAAGCTATCGTATTTATGTTCAATTGTGCATTGGTCTAACCATGATTAAATATAGGCGATCAGTCTACGTTTAGTTGTAGTTCGACCCATGCACGCCAAACTTAGCTAAAACATTTAACCTAAAACCTTGCATTGTACTCTCGTTGAGGGTTCAAACTTCCTATATGTTCGGATTGTACATACAAGTGTTCTCATCGTGAGATCGAGTTTATGTATAACTCTATATCTTGTGTTTCTTATGATCATGTGTTTTATTAATTATAATGTATTACATCAGGTTTAGCTGATAAGGCGCCGGTAATGTATTTCCCCCCAAAATCAATTAAAACATAAAATGGGGCCATAAAGACTCACCCTTGATGCGTGATCTTTATTTAGGCTCGAAGATTGGTTCGTTTTCGGGAAGCTTTTCATGAGAAACCGCAACTTGACACCAAAGGAAACCCGAGACTGTTTTGGATCTTGAAAACCAACAAGAAGGAGTGGAACGGTGGCTGATCAGATTCGAAAAAGGAAGGAAAAAGAACCACAAAAGACAGCCTGTGAAGCTGTCGTCGATAGGAGGTGGCGAGGGGTTGCTCCGACAACTTCCTCGTTGCTTTCTGCTTCCTGTTCTGGCAGTAGACGCAAGGGAGAAAGAGGACATGAAGAAAAGTGACAATCAGTAGGGTGTTTGGCTTGTTTAATCGACATGAATGAGGGGAGAAAGAGATTGATGCCTCTTGTTGATTATCGAGAAAACAACACCTCCGATGGAGGTGCTCTTGGCTGTCCACGAAGCAGAAAAAAAGAGAAGGGATGAGAGTGTTTGAGTGGAATGGTTCAAGTATGCATCAAAATTAGAAAAGTCTTGAGTTTTTAAAGATCTTGCAAGTAATTAGCTTGCATTATTGCTTGTGTAAGAGAGATTTCTTGAGAGAGAGGATAGTACGTGAATGATGAAAAGAAAGAGTGTATGAACCTCTTTTTCATGATGGTTGGACTTTTAAAGTCAATATCCTAGTACTTTGAGTGAAAATTGGTTGTAAGATGCAATACTTTCATCATTTGTGTACTTGTGAGAGTTTGTGAGAGAGGTGAGGGGATGGTAGAAGAAAACGTGGGGGAGGGGGAAGAAGAAGAATGAGTGCATGGGATAACTACCTAGACATTTAAGTCTTTTAAGCATGTTCTAAAGGTACAACACAAGATGATGTCACACTTGTGATATCAAAAATGCTTCATTATAGCTTCCTCGATCCGTGTGCCCAATTCCAGATGTCCAATCCGAAGGTGGCGAATGATAGTCTCGGTTTCAAGGATTCCAATAACTCAGACGGATCCTAAATCCGATATGTAGAACTCCGGGAAAAGTCGTTTAAAGTTTCGCGTCTAATTTGTCCCGATTCGACAATTTTCGCAATTGTGGTAAATTTACGGGTTAAAAATAGTACGAGTATGAAATCAAATATTAGCCCCGTGACTCGGTTCAAAAACGTTCTCAGAATTTCTATATGAGGTGTGAAAGTACCTCAACGGATTGATTCAGTTTTTTGTTTATTAAGAAAATCAATATTATACTGATTTGATTTCTTAAAATGGACATAACTTTTGCATACGACATCCGTTTCTGACGTTCTTTATATCCATGAATTCCTGAGAGTATAATCTATTCAATTTGATCCTAAATTAGTCCTAAGTATACTTGATGCAAAAATTTATTTTTAGCATCACAATTAGTATCAGTTTTTGTGATTTTTGATTCGATCCTTAGCGATAAACATTTTTGTAACATTCGTAAAATTCAAAAAAAAAAAAATTTAAACTTTTAAATCAACCCAAAACCATCATTGCTTACAAATTATTTTCAAAATAAGTTTTCACATCAGAGAAATCCCAAAATCCTAAAAACAATATCATGAGGAGGTGCACGATCACGCCTTTGCATTCCCACGATCCTCTGAGGTACCTGAAACATAATCCAAAACTGTAAGCCCAAAGCTTAGTGAGTTTCCCCCAAAATACCACCACAACACATAATCATAACTATCACAGCAACAACATGCATACAAAACCTTCAGCATGTCTGGACCGCCGCACCGGGCCTTTAGCCTGTCTGGACCGTTCTCCGGGGCTTCGGCCTGACTGGTCCGCCTTACATGCCTTCAGTCTATCTGGGCCGCCCTTGGTATGTTGGCCTTCAGCACAAAGCAGGACCGCTTCAACCCAACCACACACATGTCGACATATACATAACTTATAAACATACAATCAATCAATAAACAAGCACATATTTTACAGATCAATAAGCATGGCATTATCATATCTATCAGGATACAGATCTAACAGATCACTATAATACTCAATCATGCAATAATCAGGATACACATCCCAAAAGGGCGTTCGACCCAACAAGTATAGTGAGGAACACTCACCTCACAAGTAGTGCTGAACTGATAAGATCTAACTCCGAATCTCAGCTCCCGACTCAATGCCTACAACCACCATGTGACCAATTCCATCAAAGCACGAAATTACCCAAAATGCCCTCAAAAGTCCACTTGGTCAACCACAGTCAAAGTCAAAGTCAACGATCAACGTCAACAGTCCATGTTGACCCAACTCGTCGAGTGCACCAACGAACTCGTTGAGTTTCTATAGTACTCAGAAGGTCGGGAAAAACCCTAGCCAACTCGCCGAGTTGTCTGGAAAACTCGCTGAGTTCTCCCCAACTTAACACATTCAGATGATTCTTCGACTCCAGGGACTCTAAGGCTCAGATCTGAACTCAAATGTGGTCTAAAAGGATAAAGTTTCCAACTTTATCCTTTGGGGCTACTCCTAGTGATTAAAACCCCCTCCACAAGCCTTGAAAACTCAAGGGCTTAACCATTAAGCACAAAATCCTTGAGATCTGAAACCCAACTTCTCCAGAAGATATTCTAGCCTCAAAAACGACCCAAAGGTTGGTGCTTTATAGACATGTATGTCTTGAACTCAAAATAGGTCAAAAAGGGAAAAGTATGACCTAAACTCCAAGCATGGCATCAAGTATTGGCTAAAGACCAAATCCAAACCACTATAAGGTCACCTTGACCTAGAGATTCATAAAGTTTCAAGCTTTATGACATTCATCTATAACAACATCCAAGAATAAGGAGAAAAAGGGACAAAACTCAAGATCTAGCTACATAGAGGAATAAAAATCGGATCTTGGACACTTACAAAGGTCCAGAAGAGTGCTAAACTGAAGATAAGAACTTTGCTTGCTAGATCCTTGCTTCCTTCTTCCAACCTCCTCCTTCTTTACTCCAAAAATACCACACAAACTCACAAATGAGAAGGAATGATGATTAGGGTTCACAAAGGCCGATATGAGGGTTTGAAGGCTAAAATATCAGCCCTAGGGACTTAAGGAGGTTATATAGGGTGCAAAACCCTAAAATTTAGGGTTTTACAATCAACCGCCAAATCGTTGAGTTTAGGCTACCAACTCGCCGAGTTGGACCAAGAAAGACACGCGACTTAAAGTCCTTCAACATGTCAAGTTGAGGCTACCAACTCGTCGAGTTCAAAAGAAGAAATCATACCAAAGAAGATTATTCTCATACCTGGAAGTCGGGATGTTACAACTCTCCCCCACTTGGAATAGGCTTCGTCCTCGAAGCCTTCTGCGGTGAACAAGTCCGAATAATGCTCCCGCATCTCAGCCTCCGGCTCCCAGGTCCACTCAGAGCCCCTCCGATGCTGCCACTGCACCCTTACCAAAGGTACCTCCTTGCTACGCAATACCTTTACCTTTCTTTCCAGAACAGCTACCGGCCTCTCGACATAGTTCAGGCGCCCATCAACCTGAATGTCATCCAATGATACTACTACATCCTCGTCCAATACGCACTTTCGCAGCTGCGAAACGTGGAAAATGCTATGAATCTGACTGAGCTCCTCCGGAAGATCCAATCTATAAGCAACCTTGCCAACCCTGCAAACAACCCGAAATGGTCCAATATACCGAGGACCCAATTTCCCCCTCTTCCTGAAGCGAATCACACCTTTCCAAGGTGAGACTTTCAATAGCACCATGTCACTGACCTGAAACTCTAACTCAGATCGGCGTCGGTCAACATAGCTCTTCTGCCGACTCTGAGCAGTCTGCAATCTCTGCCTTATCTGATGGATCATCTTTGTGGTCTGAAGGACCACCCCGGTCCGCCCCATGACCCTGTGACCAACCTTGTCCCAACAAACTGGGGTACGACATCTCCGTCCATACAAAATCTCAAAAGACTTAGCACCAATGCTGGAGTGGAAACTGTTGTTGTAGGAGAATTCTGCAAGGGCTAGGTAGGAGTCCTAGCTCCCACCAAAATCAATGACACATGCTCACAGCATATCCTCGAGATTCTGAATCGTCCACTCACTCTGGCAGTCGATCTGCGGATGATAAGTTGTGTTGAAGTGTAGCCTTGTGCCCAGTTCCTCATGGAACTTCTGCCAAAACCGGGAGGTGAACCAAACATCACGGTCTGAAATAATAGAGACTGGAGCCTCATGGCGAGCAACGATCTCGCAAATATACACATTGGCCAACTTCTCAGCTGGCGAGCTCTCC